AACTTTGGCAGGGATCAAATTTCACCGAAATTCTTAAAATCGTTGCAACTATGGGGAGTGCTGTGGCAAAGAATTTTGGGGAAATTTGATCCTTGCCGATGTTTTTGCATCCGAGGTTGCTAAAGTGCTGCCAGGCTCGACTTTCCCGAAAATTCCTGAAAAGCGAAAACATTGGTGGGGATCAAATTTCCCCAAAATTCCTATAATCCTGGCATCTATGGGAAATGCGGGGCTATAGTTGTTCAGGTTTTGGGAATTCTGGCGAAATTTGATCCTTGCCGATGTTTTCGCATTTCAGGCTTCAGGATTTTTGGGGAAATTTCATCCTTGCCGATGTTTTCGCATCCGAGGCTGCCCACGTCCCATGATTTTCTGCTTACAAAAAGCAGGTTCGGCTGGATCACGGGGGGGGGGGGCGTGAGCAAATATATATATATATATATACACACACACAGAAACGCACATGATCCATGTAAACCATGCTAAACCTACCGCGGGCTATGAAGCTAATACATAAAGCTAGTTACACATACACGCTGCCCAATACATGTTCCACCTAAACATCGCCCTGCTTGCTTTCGAGATAATCGGTGTCCAGTTTCTTAATGTTGCAATAAGGACCCCCAAAGTAAGGCACTAAATAAGTCCAAGTGCTAATAACACGAAACTGGGAGTCAGGTCGAAGAGGGCAGAGATGGGTCCACCTTGCTTGATTGGTGGAGGCCCAGCTCTCTGGAGTGGAGCTTCACCTCACTGAACCTCCTTGACAAGCTGGCCAAGAGTATTCCTCTGAAGGGGTGGGTTGCCGGCGCGCTCAACAAAATCACGTTGAAACTCAGCCTACACCCTACCTTTGCCCTAGAGTTCTTGATGGAGATTCAGAAACTTATCATGGACGGCGCCTTTCAGATGCATCTTCGTGAGAGGATAATCTTCAGGGCACGCTGGACAGCCAGCAACGGATTCAGCCGGGATGTGGAAAGGCAGGAGACTCCTGATACTCCTGTGTTCGATGTGCAGATGCCTCGGCGCATTGAGATTCCACTGCTCTTCGGGGTGAGCCCCTGCTTCGGTCTCCCGGCTAAAGAAGCTGCAAAGAAGCAACACAAAACCTTCCCAGTGTCTTTCACCAGGACAGCACAGAAGAGTATCGCAGCGGAGGTCTGGAGCTGACGATGTGGAGCTCTAGGAAGAAGATCACCTCCATCGAGGGCTGTCCAGAGTTTCGCCTCGGGGCCACCTTTGCGCACGACTTCTCGCAGACCCCGGCGGCAGAGGCTTTCTTTGATCCTCAGGATGATCCTGACAGAAGGCTGTGTGTGCGTAACTTGCGGTTCGAGACAGATGGCAATGCGGACGTGGGTCGGGACGAGCCTTACCTCAGAGTCTGCATTGCAGGGAAGTGCAAAAGCACCAGCTACGAATACTTCGGCAATGCCGACTGCCCCTGCGGAAACGACAAGTGTGGATTCGGCGCTCAAACTTATCGTTGGTGCTATGTCTCAAGCAGCTGCCCTGTGGCCGAAGAACACCGGGGGTCTCATTGGACCAGATGCATCTATCCTGCGACATACCAGGAGGAGCTGTGCTTTGATGTGCGAGGCACATGGCTGGAAACGCAGGGCCTTCTCTTCAGTTCGTATGACTCCGACACCTACTTCGACGATCCTTACGTCGCCCCCTTGGAAATCAAGGTGGATGACCTCGTGAACTACGGTTCGAGGACATACTGGAGGCTTCCGATGGAGGCCCTTCTGGGCACCCAGGCCTACCTGACGTTCACCGCGAGGGTGCAGCGCATGCGCCGGCTCAGCAATGACGACAGTCAGGGCGACAGCCAGATCGGGCATGCGCCGATCGAGGAGATGCAGGAGCCAGGTCCTCGCCGGACCTCCTCTCGCTGCAACGCGGGCCAGGTGGACGTGGCACTGGGGTTGCATGGCTACTTCGGCGGCCTGTTCATCCCTTACAGCTGGAGCGGCAAGAACAAGGGCCTGAAGTTGGTGAACGAACGCGATTTCGAAAGCCAAGTCTTCTATGGCCCCGAGGTGATCTATTGCCGCACCAGCACCACCACCACCACAACCACTCCAGAGTCGCTGACAGCTGCTCCTCCGCAACTCGCCGCCACGACCACGACCACGACCCGTGGCAGGTTTACACAGAAAGGCTGTCAGTGTCTCGGCCTCAGGACGCAGAGCTGAATCCTGGCGCCAAGTTGTCTTCTGCCATCTGATAAATCCGCACGTTCGAAGGAGGTTGTTCATGATGTCTTCAATGGCTCATTCTGCGTGCGACTTTCGTAGTACTGCGGTAAATAAGGTCGAGCCACTTGGACTCTGTCGGGATACTCGGACTCACCGTGCACAACATCATGTTGCAATCCGAATGGTTTCGAGGCGGAGTGGTGTTTTGTGGAGGACGAAGCGTGTCAGTCGTCCAACTGGGGCTATTGTGCTCCGGTCACGGAGCAGGGATGTGCATGCCAAGAGTCGTGGGTTTCTTGGGCGGGAGAATCCTGCTCCACATACTGCTGTGACCACGGTGATTCGCGGTCCTGGTGCAAGGTGGAGAGTTGGGCCTGCCAGCTCCATACTTGGGGTTATTGCAGCGTGCCTGCAACGTCAAGCACCTCCCTCACGACCGCCACGTCCACTCTGACCACTGCATCGGCACTCACAACCTCGATTGCCGCAATTGGGAGGGTGACGCGGGAGGGCTGCT